AGCAGTTCTCTTACATACATAGGTACGTCATCTTAGTATGTATGCTCAAGGTCAACCGCCTCTTTATACCATAACTCACACGCATGTTCATACTTCTGCGATTACTGTCCTGCACTTGGCTCACTTCATTCGCTTCTTTTGAAACCGCAAGTTGTTGATTATGTATCCAAACAGTTTTTTTACTTCTTAGTAAACTACATATAACTACATCCGTTTCCACATTTATCGAATTTACTTCCCAAATTAACTACTACTGATTTAGCTTCTGTTGGATTTTTTTCAACTTCGATTCACTTTTGATACAGTTACATACATTTTTGGGAACCCTCTAACCTGCCTACGTTTAGACTACATGTATTTTTTGCACTCAAAAAACCTACATACATTTTATTATGTTTGCCTTTTTAAAATTAGTTATAATGCTGCCAAAGAGAAGAAAACTTTTTGGATGGTGCATGGCTGCCTGCCTCCACTACAAGAGCAGCAAGGGCAAGTGAAACCACAGAGCAAACTTTGTTGCACCTTTCTCAGATGGCCTCACTCTCTGCTGCCCACATCTCCACGGAAAGTACCGCTGAACGAACTGAAAGGCTGGCATCAGTAGCATCAATTATGTCATCATGACGTGCTAGACTTTCAACTGAAGAGTGTTTAGTACAGAATTCACAGGATGCAATACACGTTTCTAGGGCTTCCGAGTCCCCAACACAGACAATCCTTCAGCGTTTAAGGAATACCAGCACTACAGCATGTTCTAGAGCTTTAGAAAGCCCTGAACAAACCACTTTGCATCGTCTTAGGAATGCTAGAGTTATAGCTTCTTCCAGGGTTTCAGAAGAACCTCAACAAACCGCTATTCATCATTTAAGAAATGCCAGCGCTACTGCGTCTGCCAGGGCTTTAGAAAGCCCTGGGGTATGGTGAGCACGACTCAACAACAATGGTCAAATTGCAAGGACAGATGTTGCAGGTCTACATTTAGGTGAACAGTGTTTTGCCCATGAACAGCTTTAAGTAGGCTGCTCCCGAGTCAGGAGTAAGGTTAACATTTATGTTTACTCTCCAACAAAGCTAAAAATATTACCTATGCAGAAATCCTATAGCCCATGGTCGGTCACGTTTAAATGCAATGTACACATTTTTATGTCAGCTGCATCATAGGTTCCTTTATTTTTGAACTCAGTTTATTTAAAGGTCGTCGTAGTATCCATTTGTCATTACTAAGACATTTCATTAAAGGTTGTCTTGGTCACCAGATGCTCCCTTATCACTTAAACCCCACCATAGCTGCATTTGCACTTACATGTTGACCACGTAACCATATTCAGTTGCAACACAAAACCAATACGTGGGAAGGTGGATTCATTTGTCAGAGAAGTCGAGTGCGTCCACACAATTCAGGCCTCAGCAAAAAGAAGTGGGATAATAAAAGAATAGCAGTATGCAGAGTTATAATATGCATTCTCTGCCGTACACCATTGGTGTTTCTCCTCTTACCATAAGGGCTGCTTTAGGTAACACTATATGCACTTCATGCTCGCCTCAACTGGCTATTAAAAACTACAAAAAAATTTGTGCCACTTACAAATACTTGCCCAGGTACCTTCCCATACTTCTGTTGTGTGGTTCTGTTTGCGGTAGTAGCAGCACCATCTTTTGGGCAAAAGATACATCTACCATTCACGCTATTGCCTGTGTTCATATTGAATTTGACAACTTTTAATTGGAGGTGTCTTAATAATGGCAAATGGCTGATGCTACTATGGCTGTCCATTGCTTCCTTTTAAGCCTTACAATTTTTTCTTCCGTTGTGCTGATGAATACCAACAACTTGTGTACATTACATTTTTTACGTGGGCAGCCATCAGTTCTACTAGACTTCAGCCTTACATGTGTGTACAAAATGAGTATGGTGATCATGACCATCCATTCAGAGGAAGTTTACTACCGGGCAATGCTGGGCTTTACTGCTAGTCTATTATAATTTTGCTACTACCTTTTACTGTAAAGTTAAAACAGTTACTTTTGATATTTAATCCAAGTACCTGACTTATCAAATTCAATATTTTGAATTTAAATTTTCTTCTTTGATGTGAGTCTGTAACAAGTTTCACTAATCTGTAAAGTTAAAACAGTTACTTTTGATATTTAATCCAAGTATCTGACTTATCAAATTCAATATTTTGAATTTAAATTTTCTTCTTTGATGTGAGTCTGTAACAAGTTTCACTAATCTGTTAGTCTGGCCGCTACCACAAAAACCTTGATACTGACTAATATTTTCCTATGAAGCTAACACTTCAAACTGCAAAAATTTATTTTTATTCTATCTTGCCTGTAAGTGTAATGATAGCCATTCCTGCATTGAATTATTACTGAAAAGTAAAAGCATTAACAAGTAAAAATATATATATAAATATATATATATATATATATATATATATATATATATATATATATATATATATTTTCAGTAAGGGACTTTATTCTATACTTTGTTCTTTCAGCAAAATTATCAAACTTATAAGTGAATATTATTCATGAAACATCCAGTTTCTTTTAATTAATAGCTTATCTCAAATGAATTTTTCTACTTTGTATTTTTGAGGAAAATATTATTTTTATAATTTAAATGCAATTTTCCCCTCTTTTAAAAGCAGAAAATTGTTTTTAAATTTATTTAATAACATATGTAATGGTGATTTTGTATTTGAGACTACAAGTATAAGCAATTACAGAAAAAGGATTTGTTTTCTTTGTATGATAAATTCTAAAAGTAAAAACACTAAGCTCTAATTCATAATTTGTTAAAAAAATTTGAGTTTATCATAGATACCTGTCAAAATACATTTGATTGAATGAGAGGGGAAGAGTAAGACAAGTTGAAAGTTCATTTAAAGACTGGCTAGGTTAATTAATAGCAGAAGGACAGGAACAAAATTTCAGATGTTGAGCCAGTGGCTGTTGCCCAAACATAATTAAAAATATATAAAAAAAAATAGTCAATGAAACTGAGATTATTTCTCATATTTGCATTAACATCAAATTAAAAGTGAAATATTTTCATAGTTTGCAAAGATGTATCAGTTTGTTTTAAATATTCAATAATTAACAAAACTGTAACTATATTGATAGTTCAGTACTAATTATTCTAATGATTGTTGGTTTTATTTGAGAGACTAACTTAATGATCATCTTCTACATATTATCACACCAGACTATGTATTTCTATAATTGCTTTGAGTATATCTTAACTGTTTGTCAATAGTATCTGCTGGCAGATGTTATAAAACTAAAAATCAAATTTCTCCTTATTCTATCATTTATAAAAAATATTGTTTTTCAGGTACAGAGTATAGCAGGTTTCTTTTTATTGCTTACAACTGAGTATTGTTTAAAGAGTGATGACTTCAGTAATTTTAAAATCAGTTTTCTTTCTTGTATGTGTTAACCATGCATACACAAGAAATATATTAATATTGTTTTCTTCTAATTATTCCCTTAAAACAAAATTTGTCTTACAGTAGATGGAACCCAAGGTGATAGTTTTCTTATTTGAGTAATAAAAAAAAAAAAAACTTTCATAAATATTTAAAGCTTATGAAACCAGAAAAAATTTATGCATATAGGTAAATTATGTGCTGATAAAAACAGTAACATTGTTTTTCAATATGTAAACTAAATGACAGTCATCTTTATTTTATATATGAGGGGTTTTTGAAAAGTTCTCAACCCATTTAAAAAGTTTTAAAAAAATTTGACGTTTGATTATTTGGCAAAATTTTTAGAAGTGAGTAAGGTTAATAAATTTCCAGTAATCCCTTGCATACTGTTGTCAATGAATTCCTTGAACAAATCATTTTATAGAAATAAAATATTTTAAAAATAGTAAATGAAAAGTTTAATGTTATTTTATTAAATAGCCTTAACAAATTTCAATAACTTTTTGGCTTGGAATAAGATCTCATATATTATAATCTTAATTGCACATTGAGTTACTAATTTTAGCAAGTGGATAAAAAAGTATTTTTTTTTTTTTTTGTTACTTAAATTAATGTTACTATCTATCATTAGAAGACTTATGATAAACTTATTGAGTTTATTGCAGAATTTAGCTTAAAGACAGTTTAAGTTTAGAAGAATTAAAATAAATCAGTGTTATTCTAAGACTTAGATTTTATGGTTGTTGTTCATGACATAATTGATAAAGAAATTTTAAATTAAACGTCATTGTTAAATATAAGTTTGCAAAAAGAAATTTTAAATCTTGCTTGGTTGATAAAAGATATACAAAAACTATTCTATATATAATACACACTTTTATTGCAATCAACTAAAAATATACAATCTTTCTTACCCTTTTTACACCCGTTATAATCAAGGTGCTAGTTTTTGTTGGCGTACGTGGTCTCTTGGACCTCTCCATTAATTCCCGTATTGCTGTCTCAGCCACAGACTCAACATTGTTAATTATTATCAGCTCTGCAAGAAAATGCAGCAAGCATTCAAAAATGCACCAAAATGCTGGAGAGCCAGGAACATGCAATTAGTCAGAGATTTTTAATCAGTTAGGTTTCAGAGAGATTCACCCAAGCTATCTTCCCAGTATAAATCCATATTTGCATATCAAAATTCCATTAACAAAATAAGATATGATGATGTTAAATAAAGAAGTTAAAGCTAGGGATGGGTAAAGCTTTTGTGGTTAAAGTAAAACACCTAAATTTCAGTTTCAATTTTTGGTTTTCAAGTTTTGATTCTCAATGCTGTGTTTTTTGTATGTGAAGAGTGAAATGTATTAAGAGACAAATAAGAATAGAGAACAGAAAGATATAACGAAATGTTTATATTTATAATATATTATATGTTATTATAGAAACTTTGATAAAATTTTGAATGCAAATAGGAAGTAACAAATTCATTTTTCCAAATCCTTTCTCCCACCATTTGTGGTCTGCCATGCACACACAAGCAGTACCACCTGTATTCAGAGTACTTACAGGTGTTACCTCCCAGAAACCTGGCAAAGCTCCTGTGGCAAAAGAGAAACAGATTTGCTGATAATTACAAGTTCATCAAATACAATAAATATCAAGTTTGAAATCACAAACATTTGTACAAAATACAAAACCCAAACATTTAAATGCAAAAATAAAAAGGATATCCCAAAATAAAGTTATCTCTTTTTTTAATATTCACTTTGAAATATTTTGCTTACAAATATAATTGAAATGTTAATATATTAAAAGAATTTTAGAATGATATTGTTATCTTGCCAAAAGAAAGTATATATCTAAATAGTTTAAATATTATTTTTATTTGATGTTCTAGGAATGAAGATAAAAGCAACCAAAAATTTCTAAATTAAAAAAAAAATTATGAGAATTTATTTTATTGCATAGATAACTGGATGTATGTATGGATATAATATAACTTGTGAGATCACAATAAATGAAAAAAAAATTTTTAGTGGGAATTAGATTTTAAAATTAACATTTTTATTTTTCATTATTTGTTGATATTTCTTTTAGGAAAAATGTAATGTGCAAGTACATTCTTGTTTTCATATCCAAACAAGCCAATTACATGCAAATTATTTTAACTAGAACAAGACAAACCTTGCAATAAAGTGTCCAAGTAAAGGAATCTACAATAAAAAGTAAGTTCTAGGCTCTTTTGTTTTTAATTTGTAATAGAAATTATCTTTTCAGTTCAAGTAAGTAATTATAAAAGTGAAAATATACATTATAATTAAAACAATTACTGAAAAAGATATAATAAATCACTCCAGTGTAAAATGTTACAAGGTTTTGTGGTATATAAGAAAGAAAAAAAAATCTTTTATGGCAGTAGAGTAACTATTTTGCCAGTAAAAATATGTGATGTTAGGCCAATAAGCCTCAAGATGTAAGTAATTTAATTCACCATGTTATCTCAATCATAAACTAAGGTTAGTTATCAAACCACTTCTATCAGTGACAAGATGAAAGAATCAAAATATCTATAAATAACAAAAGGGATAGAATGAGTGAAAAAAAATGGTGATCACTAATCAAGGAATTAACTTTGGCTGGTAGATGAAGTAACAACTTTAAACATTTAATTAAAAATATATATTTGCACATAGAAACATAATATATTGACTAAATAGAAATTGAAACAACAACAATAAAATTCTGTTGAAACTAATTTGAAAAGATCAAGACATTCCAAAGAAAATTATGCATATTCAATGACTGTATAACTAAAAAAAGATACAGTTAAATACCGATCTGTCAAGGCAGGTATCTATATATAACCTCTAAGCAACTTGGGAAAAAAAAATCAGTTCTTAAATGTCTAAGATTTTCAATGACATTTAGGTCAATGCCTTACTTTATATAATAAGAGACATATAAGATACAATGGATCATGCCATAGAGAAAAATGGTATGAGCAAAAAAAAAACAAAAAAAAAACAAAAAAAAACAAAAACAAAACCCACCACCAGTTCTAGAACTAGTGATGGCTTTGTTACTTTACTCTGAGACTTGAGCATATACAGAAACCAGATTTGACAAATGAATATACTAGATATAATCATAAAAGACTTTGAATAATAGATGCTATTATATCAACATGACCACCTGATAAAAATTGTAGCAAAAGAATTTTATAAACTTTCTAAATATAAAGATATGAAAGTATAAATTACAAGAATGTGTCATTTAAACAGTAGAATGACTGGAACACACATTCATATAATTCCAGGAAATCTGTCTTTATCTGAAATGAAAGATTGTGTTAATGAGTCCTGCTCACATACTTGTTTCAGTAACTTTATAAGAAAAACTTTGATATACCTGAAGTCTCAGGTGAAAGACTTGGTAAATCAAAAGGAAATGGAAAATACTACTAATAAAAAAAGCTTTTGTTGATGAAACTGCAACAGAAACATTTAAATTAGAGGTAGGAGAGTTAAAATGCAAAGTGAATAATACAAGTTAACTGCATTCAACAAGTAAAGATGAAATAAAAAATTCCAAATATGCCTCTTAAAATCTGTTATAAAAGACAAGGAGAGTCATCTTCCTAAAAAAAGGCAATGGTCTAGCTATAATGGATAAATCTGTATAAAATCAGAACAAATTAACTAGCCTAATTGAAGATGATATCTTTCTACAAAAAAAAAAAAAAACGACTGAAGTAACAGTAAGAAAACTGTCCCAGAATTTTGCTCATCAACAACAAATTCAAAAAAAAACTTTATGCATGTATGGTTTCACAAAGATCACACACACACAAACATATATATATATATATATATATATATATATATATATAATGAATCATTCATACAAAAAGTAAATTAGTAAAGTTAAATGATATAAAATGATGAAATCCCTTCACTAAGAAAATTTTTAAGATGCATTAACCCACCAATCACTCGATGAATGTTATGATCCTTGTTTTTTAAAATTATAAACTATTAGATTTTCCTTAAATATGCAAGTACATTTGACTGTACATTCAGTCATCTTCAGGTATGTAAATTATTTTGTTTCTGGTAAAATTCAGATGTCTCAGATGCTACCTGAATTTTACCAAAAACAAAATAATTTACATACCCAAAATTACTTGCGTAGTTAAGGAAAACCTAATACAGTTTATAATTTTAAAAAACAAGGATCATAACATTCGAGTGATTGGTGGGTTAATGCATCTTAAAAATTTTGTTAGTGGAAGGATTTCACCTTTTTATATCATTAACTTTACTAATTTACTTTTTGTATAAATGATTCATTGTAATATAAATTGAACTGCACCACATATTTGATGTGTGTGTGTGTAAAATTACAGATATAACAAAAATATATCTGTAAAAGAGCAATTTAATAAAGACAAAAGGAAAACTTAGCTAACACGTTTTGTCCTCTAATGTGCTTTATCAAAGCAAATGTAAGGATTTTATTTTGCAACAAGTATTTATGAACAAAAGTAAAAATGTTAGTTTTTTAGAATTTTTAAGTTTAAGAACCCTTAAAAATATAGATCAAGTTAACTGAAAAGTCAAGGTAAATTATGGAGAATGCCTTGATAAAGTCCATCAGAGGATGGAATGCATTGGCTGGTAAGTTTTCCCTTTATATATATATATATATATATATATATATATATATATATATATATATATATATATATATAATATATATATGAAGAAATATACTCTTAAGGTGTGCTATATATTTATGGGATAAAGTGCTTAATATCAGAGCATGTGTAAATATAAAAGTGAACATTGAAGTCAACACTTAGAGGTGACAGGCTGTTTCATGCTAGATGCAATCGTCAGGCCACAAGTGTTGTTTTTTTTTTCTTGGCTATCTATATATACGGGTCAGTGGTGCATTGTGGGTAATCTATTTTGGCAGTTATTTTGCTGGAAGTCATTTATTTGTGTATTTATTAATATACAGTATAATAAATAAATAACAAAAAGTAAAAATAAATTAATCCAAATAATTAATCCAAATAAATAAACAAACTAACAAACCAATCCCGATAAATTAACCATTAGAAAAAAACCAGTAAAGATAATCAATCCAAATAAATAGATGAAGTAATAAACAAATTAAAAACTGCTCCCTCCAAAATAATAGAATAAACTACAGTAATCAACTACAAAATTGAATAAATAGCTTTAATTATCTTCCCAAACCAAAAAAATATTAAATAAGCAATATAAACAATTTTTTATTATGTTAATAAAACAGCGATTAAAATGAATAAATATATAAGATAAGAAATAAAAATAAAAAAATAAATAAAAACAAGCAAAATAATTTAATCCAAATAAATAAACAAATAAATGACATTCGGCAAAATAACCGCCAAAATAGACTAACCACAATGCACCACTGACTCATATATATAAATAGCTAAGAAAAAAAAACAACACATGGCCTGACAATTGCATCTAGCATTAAACAGCCTGTTGCCTCTAAGTGTTGAGTTCAATGTTCTATATATATATATATATATATATATATATATATATGTGTGTGTGTGTGTGTGTAGATACATAAATATTCCATAGGCTAATGATACAAAAATAGTTAAACATTTTTCAGCATAATCAAATGCTTCTCATATAAATCAAACATTATACACTGAAAATTTGTTTTATCAAAATTCAGCTAATAACAGTGTTGAGCTATAGATTTATTTGACACCAGTGTGTATATAAACTGCGGACAGAGAAATCAACACTGCATGGTAACTGTCAGTTTCACATCTTAAGTGATCAGACCATACAAAGTTGATTTCTATATCCACACTGTTTATATCTAAAAACAATCTATCCTTTATCCAACCATGTAAATATACCAAATTTTTTTAAAATACACACACATTATATATATATATATATATATATATATATATATATATATATATATATATATATATATATATACAGGGTAGTTGAAAAGCAACTCCCTATTTTATGTATGATGGACTCTGACTATAATTTTTACAAAACAGAAGAGTCTATTATACATAAAATAAGGAGATATTTTTCAATCATCTTGTACACACACACAAAATTTTGTAAAATGTGACAGGTAGAGAACTTTTCAGTTTACCATTGTGTACATATGTATATCTATTACGTGCAAACATTCTTCACAATGTGGTTATTCCAGGATTAACATCTGTTAGCAGGTTCAGCATGCCATTCTTAGAGTCAGTTCTTGGTAGATATTAATTTTTGTCATGCAAATCCAAAACATGTTAACCCTTTAAGCAGCCAAATGTGCTTGTAAGTTTAAAACACAGTCCAGGAGTAACTGAATAAACTTGCAATTGACTAGCACTGTATTTCAATACACTGTATCAACACCCATTACATGATCAATTGGATGCACCAGAAATCCACAACTTTGTAAAAATTGTAGATTTTCAAAGCCATATCTCATAACCACCAGTAATACTAAGGAGGATACATTTAGTATCATTTGAAGGACAAATCAGTTTACTTTCATATAAAATGAATTTGATTTGATTTCCAAGTGATTTTCAGATATCAATTTAATTACATGAAGATCAGATATTCATTTTTTTTTAAATTCAGTCAGGACTCCAGAGATTTAACAATTGAAATCTCTTAAGGGACGATATGGTAAAAATTCAGCCCACTTCAATGAAGTTCACCTATTCCACAAAAATAAATATTTATGAAGAGGATGCTGAAAAATTTGTGGCCTGAATGACCTTCCAAAATCTGACCAAACATCCAAACTGTGTTTGAAATCCTTAGTTAACCTGATTAGTTTTCAGCACCTCCTTATAGAAAGAATATTTACAGCATAAAAAAATCCCATTCCAACCTTTCTATGCTTTATTCATGAATTCTATTTGAAATAAATCTCTTTAGTCCTGATGATATCAATAGAATGTGCTGAAAAAAGGTAACTATCAGTAGTATTCCTGGATTATTTGAATAAGAATTTTTGAAATGCTTTCTGCAATTATAAGATTAATTATTAGCAGGAAATTCTAGTCTGTTGCATGTAACATTTTAGATTCTTTTCTGCTTAAATGTACAAAGTATTAATTGGAATCCTGACTGCAGATTTATGTTACTCTTATATCAGGTCATCCCATAAGTTCTGTCCGAATTTTGAATAAAGAAAACAAGTGACCAAATGTTAATTTAATTACAGATTCAATCAACAATGTATTTTCCCTGATTATCTATGACGTCCTTCCATCTATTAACAAGCTTACTAATTCCATTACTGTAAAATTCTTTTGGCTTTGATTCAAAGAACTCACAAATGTCAGTTTTAACCTCTTCCTGTGTTACAAAAGCTGTTTCTTCCAAATGATTTTGTAAGCTATGAAACAAATGGTAGTCTGAAGGAGCAAGATCGGGAGAATAAGGTGGATGAGGGAATTTTCTCCCAACCAAGTTCTTTGATCTTTTGTGACGTGATTCCTGCTGTGTGGGGTCGCGCATTGTCCTGATGAAACGTTACCGCTTTTTGATTCACTAGAGCAGGTCTTTTTTTCCTCAAAGCTTGGTTCAAACGCTATAATTGCTGACAGTATATTTGAGCATTAATTGTTGCATTAGGTGGTAAGAATTCAAAGTGGATTATTCCTTGGCGATCCCACCAGATTGAAAGAAGAACCTTTTGCCAATGAAGTTCCCTTCTTGACCGTGGATGGGGTCCTTCCCCTTTACCAAGCCACTGTCTACGATGCTTAACATTTTGATAAAAGATCCATCTTTCATTGCCAGTTACAAGTCTATCCAAAAACAGTGAAACAAGTTGGCGAGAATGGAGAGAAGAGCAGATGTCAACTCGAGATTTGAGGTTGTTTTCAGACAATTCATGAGGCACCCATTTTCCAAGTTTAGGAACTTTTCCAAGTTGTTGAAGATGACGATGAACTATGGTTTGAACTGAGAACCACTGCCAATTCCTCAACTGATAAAGCAGAATTTTCTTCAAGGGCTGCTGCAAGAAGCTTTTCATCAAACTCAACTGGACGTCTGGTTTGATCTTCATCTTCAAGGGTGAAATCTCCACCTCTGAATTTTGCAAACCATCTCCTGCAAGTTCTTTCATTCACACATTCCTCTCCATAAACCGAGTGAATGTTTCTAGCCGCTTCAGCTGCTGAGTTTCCTTTCTTGAACTCAAAGCATTATATGCCTCAAATGATTCTTGGGTACTTCCATGTTAGCAGGATTTTAATCAAACAAAATTTAATTTTATTGTTCTCTGAAATAAAATTTGATCAGTTTAAATGCATCTAAACATAAAAATAATGTTCAGCTCCATTAGACATTATAAAATACTCTTTAAATTTCGTTCATTTTAACAAAAAGTTAAAATTTGGACAGAACTTATGGGATGACCTGATACTAATAAATTAATTAAAAAAAAACAATTTTGTACTAATAATAGCACAAAAAATTCATTTGTATTCATGAATATTAAGAAAACTTACCAAACCTTCATTTCAAATTTTTGCAAAAATAATATATTGTTACCTGATGATCCAGGTGTATCTGGCTGAGGTAAGTGTGTAGGACTTAAATGGCTGACTGAGTCTGAGTTTTCTACCTCCAAATGGGTGCTACGTTTCTCTATCATAGAAGGGGAACCTGCAACATGGCAAACATGCAAATTCTAACCAACACAACAAGTGTGCAAACAACCAAATTGCAACCACAAAACACATCTGCAAATTGATAAAGCTCTTCCTCCCAAGATAAAAAAAAAAAAGATTGATGTATACACACAAATTGATATGCACACACCATACTTATCTAGAGATATGTTTATTCTACTGAAAAGGTCTGTTTATTTAACTTTTTATATCTTTCCAATTTCCAAATGAGGTGCTGTATGTCAAGATTGAAGTTGTGAATAAATTGTCTAAAGTTCATGTTTTTTTTGTTGTATTCAACTACTTTTGACTATCACAATCATTGTCAAGAATGGGCATTATCAGGATGTTAAGCAAGATTATTTTCATAAATTTCTGGCATCTTAGATTGATAGAATTAGAGTTGGAATTAGTTCAAAGTGAAGTGATATCACTTGCTTGCAAATACATGGATATACAGAAGTCACACAAATCCATGTTAACATTTATAAATATCCAACTAAAGACTTTATCCTGTAAACCTTCCTTCAGGAAGCATTTCATTTTCTACATAAAATACTGAATAATCCAAAAATAAAATAAAAAAGCTCTTTTTGTGAATACAAAGAATGATCAGAAATTATTAGAAATATCAACACATGGCTGAAAGTTAAAGCATTAGCATTCCAACCATAAGACCCACGTTCAAATTTCACCATAGTTGATTAGTCAAGGAGATGACCTTGATAATATTTTCCTGAAGAGAACCCTCAGCATGTAGGATCATTGTAAAGTCAAGGAATACTATACCATGGATTGACCCAAGTGAGCAAAATTTGGTAGATGGAACCATTTGGAACCGGTCAATGGCTGAAATGAGGTGAGAAGTCTTCACCTGATGAACAGATAGAAGCTCTTTAGCCTTGGTTGGAAATTTATTGAGATGGCTTGATAAAAAACGCCCATGCCCCAGTGGCCTCATTATTCATGGGGATGTATTGGTAAAAAAAAAAAAAACTTGCACTGGTAGAAATTCTTGAAGGAATAAGTCATGTGAGCTTGCAAATCTATCACAGCATATGATAATTAGCAACAATTTTGTATTCTTTCCCAGTTGAATATTTTCAGATATGCAAGTTGTAAAATATTCAAATCAGAATTAAAAGAATGAAAGCCTTATTAGATTTTATGCAGAAGACCTGGAGGATTCCTTACTTCACTTCATGATGTATCTTTATTTTCACTTGAATTTTCTTTTCTCTCCAAATGTGTTTTTTGCAAAAAATATCAAATGAAAATTATTAAAGAATATTATACATTTGCATAAAGTTATAGACTAAGATAAAATTTCTAAATAAATGTCTTCTGTATAACTTACAGGAAAATATTTGTTTTGGGAAAACCACAAAAAAATTTCTATTGACCTACTAAAACATTTTCTAATTCCATTTTTATTGGGATATAAGTAGATCTTATAAAAACAGATATACACCCAAAAATTAAAATATCAATCAATTCCAAATATATAGTTTCTTTTACTTAGCAAATAGATCCTTATGGATATAAGAAAATCACTGCACTGCAATTTACTCCTGAACTGAAAATCTTTTATAAAACCCTTTAATACCAAAGATATTTATTAATGAAGTTATTAAAAGCACTTGAATATAAAAATTACAAGCAGTAGACAAATTTTGTTAAACATTCAAAAACTAAAACTCATGCAGGAAATTATGAGGAAAAAAAGTTTTAATTTCTGAAGAGATAAAAAAAAGTTTTTTCTAATAATGAAATAAAAAAAAAAAAAAAATCAGTAATTAGAGAGGAATCCAATGTTTTCATAAATATATATTTGCTTCGACTTAAATTTAAAGCAAATTTTCCATTCAGTATCTTAACAAAAAGTTTTATTTTCTTAAAGTTATATTTCTAATGACAAGCAGCAAATATCAGTATTTAATGAAAAGAAAAAGAAACAGTAACCACCAGTGATTTTTCAAATTATATTGCATGAAAAATACAAAATATACCTATTCATTAGTATTTATATCAGTTAATAAGCACAGTACTATTGGCTTATATTTTTTGCATTCTAATGGAATTAAGTTTACTTAATATTTGTTTAAATATTTTATTTCAAACTTACTCAGTTATCATGTAAGTAAAACTTATTGATATATGTAAAATTATATAATTTAACACCTGTCAAGATGAACAGAATTTTTGTCTGTAAAGTTCTCAATAGATATCTGGAACAATAATTATTGTATCAAAAATATTAAAACTTCAGGATACTTATTGAAGATTTGCTTGTCTACATTGCTTATAAACTGATACAGATTGTTGATATGTCCGCTATTCATGATACAAAAGGACATCATGTAAAATTCCTTGATCTCTTCTTCACATCCTTCCCTGGAAAATGCTCCACTGAAGTGTTACCATCCCTGGACACTTGGGACCATTCAATGGTCAGTGTTAAAGTTGATGCCAAACCAAAAGCACCACCTGGTGGGCTGTTTCATAGAATGATTTTTCAGTACACCAAAGCTGACTAGAACAGCTTCAGATCTTACATGACAGAAGCTCCCTTTTCAGCATTCTTCAAATATAGAGCCCCCAGAAATGCCACTACCATCTCTAAATATATACTTTCTGACATGGAAAGTTTTATACCTCAGAAAAAAGAAAATCAACAAATACCAAATAGCTAGTCCTTGTTCACTCCTAAATGTGTTGCAGCCATAACCATTACAACAATCTGTATTCAGAACTACCTGCAAACCTTTGCAAGAGAGTTCAACTCAAATTCAAAAGCAAATGACTTCTGGAAAATTTAAATAAATTCTCAACAGAAGCCCAGAGGTTATCGTATACTTGTCAGATAAAGCAAAGCTCTTCACTACGATCTTTACCTCTATGTTAGATAACAAGGGCCCTTCCAAACTTCCACCTACTCACAGAATGCAAACTTAATATTTATATCAAAGCCTGGGAAGTCTCAAGACTTATCAAAAGCATTGACTAAGAAGGTTACCAGTCCAGATAAAATCTCAGTGGCTGTCCTTAAGAATATATGTCTTGAGGTATTAGCAAAATTGTTTAACTGCTACCTGAAGGAGAAATCCTTCCAAGTCTGTGGAAGGAGTTAAATGTATGTTCTGTTTTCAAGAAAGCTCATCTCAGTATTAGCCCATCAGCATTAGTGTCATTAGCAAACTATTTGAGGCTATAATCAACAAGAAAGTTGTTGATTCCCCCCGTAGGGACAACCTCTTGCACAATAGACAATATGGATTTTGATCGTCTCTCTGCACTGCTGATTTCCTGTCATTACTAACAGATTCAGTGAGGCAATAAATACATCATGAAGATGATCACGTTACATTCTTCCTAAAACCAGATATTCTTATTCATACTATGCTAATTTCTACCACTGGCCAGATGTGAATGCTCTGAAACCAAGATTGAACTAAAAATTTCATTAACTGTACATAGCATGTATCTTTCGCTTTTGCTCACAGACTCAAAGAAAAATACAATTCAGAATTTCAACCCAATAGCACCTACTTCTGCCTAAAGAAACAAAAAAAAATTGGAGCTGATCTGAGCCTAAGAAAGGACATAAAAGCCCATGAAAGGGACATCTTTGGCAGTTGGGCTGCATAGCAACTCGGATTAACATTGCTTATCAAAACATGATCTCCCATCTCCAAAAGACAACTTGCCAAAGATCGTCACTGTAGTAAGTTACAACTCACTCTCCTTCTCCTACCGTACACCTCTGCAGACAACTTTTACAGTTCCACTTATCCTCTTCTTTTGATGTGAAACATTCACACCGATTTACCAATTGTTGTATTTTTACATTAATACAATTGTTTATTTTTTAAACCTCCATTGTTTGTTCTTTGTTCTGCCACCATACACTTAATATAACAATTAGATATATTGAAAGTTTTTGACAAGATGTGGCATAGGGATTTGCTACATAAGCTTGCCAGTTCAATTATCAAGTCCTTTCTAACAGGTAGGTTCTTGAAGGTAGTCCTCGGAGGTCTATGAAATCAACGCAGATGTCCCTCAAGGCTCACTTATCGGTCCAACCCTCTTTCTGCTTTAAATAAATGTTCTGCCTAAGAATATACTCTGATCTTTTGTGAATATCTATATAGATGATACAATAGTATATGGGTGCACCTCCAAAATTCTCGATGATCAGAGCCTGGGAGCTGATCTATCCTCAGATCTAGCTCTAACAGTTCAATAGGGGAAACTGGCTGGCCACATTCAGTACCTTAAAAGCAAACTAATAAGGTTCCATCATCCCTAAGCAGACACCTGAATTAAGTAATAAAAGGTGTTCTCTGAAGGAAGCGCCTTGTCGTGAGCATCTTTTGTGAATTAAGCTCACTCCAGACTTTGTGGAATATATATATATATATATATATATATATATATATATATATATAATCCATTGCTAAAGGTATTGGAAAAATGTTTGGTTCCCTATACTGTTCCAGTAAGTATTTGACACATTCAGTTAAAATTTAGTAACAAACAAAATTAAAATTTTCATAGGTATTGTGTTCATTATTTAGATTATTCAGTCCTCATCTTTGTCGCCATATTTATTACAACGTATCGGCCGTTGTATGTTCTGGTCTTCTTCAGGTGGTTGGAATGTCAAACTGAACCCTTTATTTTGCTCACTGGTGTAGACTGTTCTAGTTCTACGTGCCATGTTTAATGGATGTCAGTTATCAGTTATCTCCTGTTAATTTCCCACTGAAAGTTCTCCACTGCTTTAACCAGGTATTGAACTCACATTCTTTGGGTCCTGTCACTGGATCTAACTAATGCCACTGTGCCATGTGTCCTTGAGGACATCTGTGTATGATTTTCTGTGTATTATAAACCTAATATCTTCAGCCATCATTTTTTTACCAGTGCTCATATTGCAACTTTTGCTGTTATCACATCATGTTTTTACCAGAGCTCATATTGCAATTTTTGTTGTTATTATCACTTTTCTCTGGCACTCCTTATTACTGGTTCCCATATTGTATTCATTTCTATGCTGGGTTGGCTCAGGAGATTTTTGTGGCCTAGCATATGTGCTGATTCCTTAAGTTTACGAATTTTCCACTGGTGTTCTTTGTCTATGATCTCAGCTTGGTCTCACAGAGGGTGGTGATCTTCCTTCTCTCTCCATATGGGGTCAGCCATGCCTAATTTTTCCACTTCCCCTCATGAAGAAGGCCAGAGCATACAACAGCCAAAACGCTGTAATAAATATGGTGACAAAGATGAGAACAATAGTCCGCATAATTTAAATAATGTACATAATACCTCATCTCAGAAATATAGATGGGTATTGTGTTGTTCTCATAGAATTTCATTTAAGCTTCAAGTTTTGGAGTTGTTTTTTTTTTTTTTTTAAAAATAAAAAAAATAAGGTGGCCATAAACTTGTCTAGCATTAAAAAAAAATCTAGCAAGATAACTTTCACTCTTCTTTAAAAATGACCTACCTCTTGAAAGATAGCCATTCTAAAAGGAGTATTGATATTATAGTCTATATACAGCTTTATTGTTGGTAATTAAACCAATTACAAAAATGTAACCATCAAAACAGATACACAACAATTGCCATGTGTATCCGACTTTTCACTGCTCAGATCACTGTTTATAGCTCTTATCACTGTCCTTTGGAAACAAAATGACCACATCCATATCTTTAACATGCAATAGTTGTAGTGATAAACTATAGTAGTGTTATAAAAGCATGTATGATAGCATGAAAGAACATATGAAATAACAAGGTATCAGAATATCACTTTATGGCTGAAGGAAACAACCTGGAGGAAGGGGTGAGATCGAAATGGTTGGAGTTAATACATGTTTTGGGGGATCAGTTGATGAAGATCATTGGTGGTGATGTTGACAGCTTTCCCCTTATCTCAAACAGTGCCATGAGTAGCATTCTTAAAAGCAGACAAGGTGGATCATGATTCAACATTTTTTGTCATGCCTTTTGCTTTAATGGTAATGTTCATTTACTCTTTTTATATATATTGTTTTTTGAGGGGATTTGTTTTGTGAACCAGATGTGATACTTGGAGACCCTGAGCAGAACACAATATTTTATTTTTAATTTTGCTTTCACATCCAGCCAACAGGTTTTTGGGTGAATCAGAAAGAGATCTAACTTGAAGCAGAGTATAACAGGTGTCACTTTGGTATGCATAGTCATCTGTAGACTGGACTTTTGGCTCTAAAGCAAATGTATCTATCAAAATTGTCTAGTCATATATTTTGGTGCTTCAGTTTGTAGTTTTGTATGGGTATAGGCATACCAATCAGATGAAACCTGACTATAAAAGTTATCAACTTGTACCTTACAGAGTACAGTGCCTCAGTATTGGAAAAACTGTTTCTTGTGAAAATTTCTTCTCATCATGAAAGTATCTTACAATAATTCCTGCCTTATCATCAAGATTAGTAAAGTAACAATAGAATTGATTACATGAAATATGCTTGTTAACTAACCTCATACTTCTATCCTATCATAAACTGCATGTTTAGAATCAAAAAATATATTGTATCTTATAAATTTCAAATTTTGGTTCTTGGTATCAAAATATTTGAAACCATTAATATAAGCAGATTTATAGAATTAAAAAAACTTTTTGATATTTTAATATTAAAATAGAAAGTAATCTACACTGTATTGTTTAAATACAGACTTTACAAACCTTTATAAAAATAAAAAAACAAAAATTGTCAGAAATTAAAATGATATAAGCAAAATAATGAAAATGTAAAATTAAGGAAACAACATCAAACTAGATTTTAATTGTTACTTTAAAAAGTATCTTAGAATACAACAAAGCTTAAAATCAAAGTTCTCAAGCAAGAAGTGTAAAAATTATTCTATCAAATGTGAATTAGTGATATTTATAGATATTTATTAACATTAGTTTTATTCAGGGGCCTTGTGGATAGAAGTGAGACAGAATGACATTGTCCTCACAACCCACAATGCCTAGGACCATTACAGATTATGTAAAGTTGGAATCTGCACACAACCACCTGTCATTCCTCAAGTTCACCTTCTGGTCCTGGTTGAAGGATGTTTGAGCTTGTTCAGCAAGTGTATTGACAGATCACATGATTCTCCTGAGCTGTATTCACATTGCTTATAAACTTCTTGTGGTTAGATGATGTCCTAGAACTACTGGATGAACACAGTCATCCTTACAATGTTTGGCCACTTAGAATGTCTTTGCTTTGGTCATGGATAACATGTTCCAACCAGTGGGCCCCAGCCCATTCTTGACCCTGAACACCAAGAACCTGATCACTTTCTTCTGCTAAAAGTAAAAGTATAAAATTTGAAGTTAAAACTTTTCTAGTTATATAAATCATAACCAAACAGAATTAGAATGGAAGGAAAAACTTATCTTGAAAGAAAAAAAAAAATTCACCTTAATTCATGCCAAGTGTTATTGCCAACAAACACCAATATAATCAGTTTCTATAATTTATACTTGTATCATCTTTATTACCTGAAGCCATACCAGAAAACTGGGGCCGTTCTGTTGTAGTAGTAGTTGTGGTTACTATAGTTCCACTGGGAGTCACAGTACGGGAGACTTCCACATGCTTTCGAGGGGAGATCTGGTTATTTCCAAGGTTTTTTGGTCCAAGTGATGAATCCATGTACTGGTCAGCTTCATGAGGCTCCATCAAAAGAAACTGTTTATAGAAATAAAAGAATAAAAAATAGACATACAATTCAGCAGAAAAATTCATATATTAAAAACAAAACCATCATTTACAGTAGTGACTTATAAATTTTTTAATTAATGTTTATAAAACAATAAAATTTCAGGTACTTTACAAAATTCAATAACTTCTTTCAAAAATATTCTGCAGCTGCTTTGTTGTTCTCTGATTGACTCAACTTTATTGTATTTTGCAGTATACAAAAATGAGTATCAAGTTATCCAAGGTTAACTATTAGGTGTAGCTAGTCTATTTGGATATTATTTGTTACTATTCAATATTAAAGATAACTTCCACTTCAATATCAATAGAATTGGAATAGTTAGTAAAATAACATGTGAATCAGCGTGTACTTCTGGGAGTGCAAGAATACTATAGGTATGTAGATAGATTAGTAGTATAGCTATAGTACACTCCAATTCAAATGCTTATTTTATACCTCAACTGTCAGGGATCCAACTTGGTATTCCATACTACCAGGTGTCTGGAGTGGAATTATCTGTCTGCAACTCATTGTTTTTCGTATATCTTCCATATAGATAGTTGCTTCACCGAGAAATTCATCTACAATTAAACAAAATAAAAAAGTAGTATTCATGAGATCTTTATTTTTATAAAAACTAATAAAATTCAAAATGAAAAAAACAACTTAAAAACAAAAATTCACTGATAAATAAAAAAGTGTAGATGTTTCCAAAATCTATCATTTTATAAAACTTTTTCATTATAGTTTTGCATAATGTACAATAAATATAAACCAAGTGTTCAAATTAAAATTAACCAATAGAAGATATTTTTTCTGTTATTTAATTGGACATAAAAAAAGAAAAAAATGCTGCTAAAAGTAGATTGGTCACTGTCACTGTATTTGTAACTATATACAATAGAAAAATGTGTATGCACAAACATGCATATATATATATTACACACATATATAATAGAAAGAGAGAGAAAGAGTTAGGAGATCAGCTGATTTTGTTACCTTGGTTTCAACTTTTTGGTATCTTCAGGCAATTTCGATCAATTGATTTCCTAACACATTATTTTTTAAAATAAATAATTTATGAGTGCTATATTTAAAAAAAAAAAAAAAAAGAGAATAAATAAATGAATAAGTGCATGACATGGGGTGAGGTAGAAGGTGAGAAGGAGAGGAAAATCAGGTGCACTGGAAATGTATTGGTGGGGGATTAAATGAAATATACATACTTATTTTCATCTTTTGCAGATGTTGCTATGATTCTTTTTTATTTTAATTTCCATGCATAGTTGGTTAGTTTAGTAGAATTTCTAAGGCTTTGTAGCTTAAAAGATGACATGATTGTACCACCTCTTTTTAAAGTTACCCTATGTATATGTTATAGACAAGTGTATGGTTGCAAGAAAGAAATACGACAACAGCAGAAATAGATTTACGAGATTTATTTCACAGGAACGTAAGGGTTTGGGACAGCTACCTTGTGGTATAGTTCATAAGCCGGCTTTGGATTTAGGTCAATCTCTCATGGTAGTTCACACATGTTGATGCTGGCGCTCCCCTGCTGACAGTTGCTGACCGCTCGGCCTGACCGTGACAGGTCTCCTCCCTGGCCTCCTGTTGACTGCCCGTTGTACTTCCCTGTGACCCCTTTTATGGTGTTTTTTATGGCTTAACAGGCTCGAAAAATGAAGCGAGTATAATTAGGAGGGAAGCATTTTTATTGGATGAAAAATAGAACACTTTAAATATTATTTTATTTTTCGACCAGAACTTGTGCGTCGGGAACATTTGTAAATGAAGATAATGGTCATTTTGTGACGGGGCTTTGTCCCGTTCACATCCGGCTCTCGCTCTTGAGTATGTTAGTTTATTTGCCTGTAAATCAGCCGAGATATGTCTTATTTTATTTTATAACATATATTTGTTTCTGGCCTATTAATTCTGAAACTTCAGCACTATCAAATGAACCTTGTAGTACATCGAAGTCATCCTTTTTTGAGTTTTTAATCCAAACTTCTCTATTGTGGAATAAAATTGATTTACTGCAATGTAAAATTATGTCCATTTGTTCAGGTGTTATATTTATGAAACCTTTGGTGAAGTACAAAGCCTCAAGCAGACCTTTTTTAGATATAGAGATAAGATTTTTTTATGTCGTATTTTATAAATAAATATTTATCTTTATTTGTAATTTTGTGGAATCAAGAAACGAACTCATTGGTATCCTTCTGTTGATTGGCTTGTGTAGTGATCCTTAATGAGTTGCACATTTTGTTGAGTATTTCTTGGCTTATTTTACCCAATTCAGTTTTGGTTGCTTTTATTAGCCTAAAAGAAGTATTATTGGGGAATTGGTCTTTATAGTACTTTATAGTCAGAAATGCTTACTTACAGCATAATATATGGACCCTGTCACTTATACCTAGTTTGGCTGTGATATTTTTTGCCTTCCCATTTACACCTTTAATGTTTGAGTTTGGTGCTTTTTTGTAAGTTTTAGTGACTTTTTCATTTATTTTTTTCTGGTAAATCTCTAAGTTCATAGTATAAATGTTCTTTGTCTTGGCTTCTTTAACTAGGATGGTTTTAGTTCTTTTTTTTTTTTACTTCCATAATTTAATAGTTTTTGAAAATTACTATTAACTTTTGTGAATTTAATATTGTCTGTAATATCAAGCATATCCTTTTTGAAGTTAGCTAGCAGGTAATTTTTAGTTCTGAATTTGAATTTTGTGTTTTTTTTGTTCTTTAAATATTTGTTTAATGAAAATAGTACCTTCAATCTCATTCTGGTCAGGAATTTCTCAATTTTTTGTAATAAATTTAGCATGTACTCTTCCTTGTTAAGAACAATGATGTTTTTTAGTGAGTGCAGTATTCTGATTTTCTTGCATTTTAGTTTCCTCCATAAATTTTGTAAACAAATATTGTACATTTAAAAAAAACAAAAAAAAAACAAAAACCCACAATTGTTGTGCATTCAGAAAAAAAACATAACAGTGAATTAATACACATATATAGTATGTTAGAGTGTACCAGTTAAGATGGTTTATAAAAGCATAGCAAAAATACACTGAAAATGAAAGTGCTCAACTGTAATAAAGTTATAATAAAAAAAGTTAATGGTCAGAGTTGAATTAGACAGGAAACAGTAATAGTAAAAAAATGCTCAATACACATATAAAAAGAAAAATTTAACATGTACAGCTGTTAAGTATACAACATTAGGAGATCAGCTGATTCCACTACATTGAGTTCAACCTTTTGTTATCTTCAGGCGATTTTGATCAATTGATTTCCTAACGCTATTTTTTTTTAAAAATAAAAAATTTCTGAACACTATATTTTAAAAGCACACACACACACACACACATATATATATATATATATATATATATATATATATGAGAGAGAGCGAGAGAAAGGCATCCAGATATATGGTGATTACAAACAAATAATAAATGCTGCTGTACCATGTGATAATTACCCAAAATCTTGAACAGAGGATCTATTTGTTACAAAAAGACATGGCCAAAAGTTTAGCAAACTAGACTTAAGCTATGCCTATCAGCAATTAGAGCTGGATGAGGAAACACAGGAATTGTTGATGGTAAATACACATTGGGACAAATTACAATTTGGGGTGCACAGAACAAACAGAAATTTTCAACGAGAGATGGATAAAAGTTTGCGGGATATTCTCTTCTGTAAGGTATGTGTGGATGATATCCAGATTTTGGGTCATTATGATGCTAGTCATCTAAAGAACCTACAGAACATATTTGCTTCACTGGATTAGGCAAGACTAAAATTGAAGAGGAGTAAGTACAAATTCCTTCTCCCGGATGTAACATATCTCAGTTTCAAAATCAACAAGGAGGTCATGGCTCATCTTCCAGGGAAAGTGGCTGCTATGATAGGAGCTCCAACACCCAAGAATGTTACAGAGTTGAAAGCTTATCTTGGGGCAGTGAACTACTATCACAGTCATTTAACCAATTTGTCAAGCATACTGGAGCCACTTCATAGTTTAATGAGGAAGGGGACTGCTTGGAGATGGGGTGTCAGTTAGAGAAGAGCTATTTGAAGAAATGAAGAATATGCTGTGTTCTGCACCCCTTCTAACTCATTTTGACTCACCCAAGCTCATTCTGATACTTCTCCCTATGGACTGAGAGCTGTCATAGCTCATGGAAGATAGGAGTGAGAAGCCAATATGCTGCATTTCATGAATGCTTTCTGATACCAAACGGAATTATGCCCATATCAAAGAAGAAGGGTTGGCCCTGGTTTTTCCTATGAAAAAGCTGAACAGGTGCTGCATGAGAATTGCTTCAAAATATTCACTGAAGACAAGTTGTTCACAGAATACTAACCCATGCCACATCTTGCTGTTTTGCTGGGCTCTCTTCTTAGCAGCATACAACTATAAGTTGTAGTACCGTGCTTGGTCTCTTAATGGAAATGCAGACTGTCTTAGTCATCACCCACTAAGTGCACAAGAACAGAATTTTTCTCTATCTACAAACTGGATACACATGATGAACCTGGTTGATGCTCTGCTGACTGTGGTAGCAGTGAGATCAGAAATGAGATGAGACCCCATTTTGAGCCAGGTGTACAAATATACAATGAAAGGCTGGAGTAGTTGTACTTTAATTGCTGAAATAGGACTTCAATATTTCAAATGAGAACAGTTGATGTGTGAGAATGGTACAATACTATGGAGGTGCAGGCTTATCATTGTTAAGAACTGTCTTTTATTTAATGAAGCCTGACATTTATTGTGTTCTAGATTACAAATGCAAAATGGAAGTCATGACCCCTACTTAGAGAATTCAAAATTGACAATGCAGTTCTGGTATGGAATTTTTGACTGTGGATGGAAGGCACCACTACCGGACAGTTGGAAGTAGTGAATTTTGAAGTGGAGGCAGGAGGAGGGTTTGTAAAGAGACATGCAGACTAACTCCCAACCAAGTTTGCTGAGGAAGGGATACTTGATGTATGGAACTAGATGGAACACATATGAAAATGCCACAGTGGCTCCTGTGGAGACTGAGAGGCCCACAATACCTCCAATTCATTCATCAAGTCACATATGCAGACCACCAATCAAGTTGAATAATTATGTCTGTAGTCCCAAGTAAGATTTCAGGGATGTTATATATTGAACCGAGATGTGAAGTTGCATCCCTTTGTCTTGAGTGATCCAATGAATTGGGTTATGTCCTTTACCCCTAGTGGGCATCTTTTTGTGGTACCTATGAATAAAATGGGCAGTGATGAACACACATTTCTGCTCTCTTAAGTAAATTCTGTCTTTTTTGATCTTTGTCAATTTCAGCACATTTGAATAGTACAGCAACATATACAATTTCTAGATTAATAAAATAATGATTAGATATGATTTTGAACATTTTTATAGTTAATGCAAAATCTTGGACAAACTCTTATTCCTATGAATTGATATCATTATTTCACCATCCAATTATTTTCTCTAGTAGGCCAGGCCAACTTTTAAGCAATTAGCATTCACTGCACTAGTCCAGTTATGTGACCCTTAAAACATTCAATCAGCAGTGACTTGAATTTACAGAGGGATAGATTTCTCAGAGGCACCAGAGAAAGAGATGTATCCTTGACTTGAATGGAGACAATCCTTTACAACATGACTTGCTTGACTTACATCAAGTAGTTTTCCTTTTCAGGGCCAGAGTGAAGACATATATTGTTTGTATACTTTATTAAAGTGTTCTTTTTTTCTTTTTAAATAAAAACTTCACTTACATTCTTGTGAATTCTGTTTTTATTTTCTTATTATAAATGTTTAGGTAATTATCTTTTCCAACAAGGCTGTCCAACATATATTTGGTAACAACAAATTCTTTGTGGAACTTTTTTGATATTTTGAATTGTGGCATGTGCTGACTCATTAAGGATATTTCATAGAATGAAATAAGTAATATAAATATGCAGAAGAATGTCCCATCTTAGCTCCAGGATCATTCACTGTATTGCATTTGCATTATAACAGGTATTGCTATACATCAAAATCACCAGACAACTTCATTAACCAGAAAAATCATACAAACAAGCCAATTGCTTACTGTAACATTGTTCAGTAACAGTTTGTCCAGGTTCCAGCAATTCATAAAAAAGAATTACTTTTGAATAACACCCAATACTGTCTCCCTGCCAGCCAGTAGATTCCATTTCTTGAGATGTAGGCCATCCTGCTTCTCCCCATAATTTTCTTTATTTTTTTCTATTCATAAGTTCATTTTTCATTAGCAGTGATTATCTTGCCCCCAAATCAATATTTTCTATGTTGAATAAAAAGAAAAACAAGTGTTTAAACATTGAGTGATGTTCATTTCCATAAATTCAAATGAAACATATTTTTCTTAGTTACTGAATTTTCCCTCACACTTGTAAACAAGGTACTAAGGCTGACTAATTTCACATATTGTGCTACATCTTCGTTCAAAAGTTCTTTCAACTTCTAAGTCTCACAGAGACTTCATTGTTAAGCTCAAAAAGGAACATTTTTTTTTAAAATGCCATTTTCAACACAATCTTGCACATTGCATATTCCCCATAAACCTCAGTAATTTATTGCCTAGATTCTATTGAAGAGTAGGCAGTATCAAGTGTGTATTTTATATTTAGCTATGATTTTCACCAAAATAAAGTAAAATTATCATTTTCCTGCAGACAATTTTTAAAGAGTATGCAAGTACAAGCATTCAAAAGCAGAGTAATTTTTAAAGACACTTCTAAGATTTTGAACATAAAAATAGTATCTCTCTTTTTCTATGTGATGCACATATATTTGTATTTATGTCATTAAATCTATACAATTTGAAAATGAAAATATCTTCTACGTAATTTGTGCCAACCAACCTGCAGGAGATTTTCCTTTATCATACAACTCAAAACGAAGTTCTCTGGACATGTGAGAAACATCCCTGAAAGAAATGGAGAAAGCAGAAAAATGTAATTGCAATGATGATTACATATCAGTAAGAACTATTAAATAAATATTAAATAACAGTAATTTCGGAATTATTAATTATAATAACAGCAGCAGGAAAAATAGTAAAAAAAAAGTATTTGCAAAAGATATATGAATACAAATATATTGTTATAAAGTAAATATAACCTATGAAAGTTGTAATACATGTTTTGAATTCTTAAGATGTAAAAACCTTACATAAGAATTCAAAGTACTATCTTAGAGTTTAACAAGAAAAAACTAAGTATATACTCTGAAGCAAAGAAAATTAAGCTGATTATTGAAAAGATCACATATTCAGCTACACAAATTATTTTAAAACAATAATAAACTTAGAATAATAAATACTATTCTTGTGTTCTTTAATGATATTATAAATTGGTTAAAAAGAAAAAAAATGAAATATATATAATTTAATCACTTAATAGCAGTTGCTTTGTTCATAGAAATCATTTATAAATCTGTGGTTTATGTTTATATTTACAGTTACAACAGAAAACAGTGTTATACTTAATATATAATGAAATGGCTTAAGAGAATGAAAGCATTCAATGGTGTAAGTGAAGACGTAACATCCTTTGTGGCAGAATCTGTTGAGGGATAGAGACAGTTTCATACAAAGTTATATGTCAAATTTTACTATATGTCACTATTTCACAATAAAATTGGTATGAACCAATTAATGTTGGTAAAACTTTTCAGGGTTTACATTTACATCAGTAATATATTTAACTTTCAGCTTATTAAAAATATTAATAAATATTTTTAAGGTGAGGTCTCATTATGCAACTAAACTAATTCCAAAAGATAAAAGCTGTCAAAATATGTTATAATCCACTGCAATTAGATCTCTTTCTGATTCACTCTACATGTTGACTGAATGTAATAGCAAAACACAAAGTGAAAAGGTTGTTTTCTGCACTGGGGTTCTGAGCATCACCTCCAGTCCTCAAAACAAATCCCTGCAATGAAATGCAATAGACAATCATGAATGTTTTTAACAAAAAACAGATGACCCACCAGATTTGCTTAAAATAAAGCCACTTGTAAATGTCCAACACAGTAGAGGCCACCTGTCAACATTCTGCTTGATCAACCTTCACTATCTACTCCAGGCTTCGTCATCATCACCACCATTACCTTGTTTCGTTGATTGCCCATTCAACCAGAATCCAACGGAGACCTTCTGCTTGATCAACCTTCACTATCTACTCCAGGCTTCGTCATCATCACCACCATTACCTTGTTTCGTTGATTGCCCATTCAACCAGAATCCAACGGAGACCTTCTGCTGATGATCAACCTTCACTATCTACTCCAGGCTTCGTCATCATCACCACCATTACCTTGTTTCGTTGATTGCCCATTCAACCAGAATCCAACGGAGACCTTCTGCTTGATCAACCTTCACTATCTACTCCAGGCTTCGTCATCATCACCACCATTACCTTGTTTCGTTGATTGCCCATTCAACCAGAATCCAACGGAGACCTTCTGCTTGATCAACCTTCACTATCTACTCCAGGCTTCGTCATCATCACCACCATTACCTTGTTTCGTTGATTGCCCATTCAACCAGAATCCAACGGAGACCTTCTGCTTGATCAACCTTCACTATCCACTCCAAGCCACCCTCATCACCACCACTGTCTTAAGTCAACCCCCACCAAGACAACTTATCAGGCAGTTTAACTTCAACATCTTGTCATCCCATGACCACCAGCCCATCAAACACCTCACAAGTGTTGATTTCAACCCTGATGAAAGGTGTACATCAAACACCACTAATGACACTTGACTTGACTTCACTAATCCACTCTAGACCTATCACTTGACACCAACCATGACCTTAATGTAATGAAAACAGGACAAGAGATTCTGTCTAGTAATCGTTTATTCAATTAAGAATACTACTCCTCATCTGACTTGACAGCGGAAGTATACAGCTTTTATAGCTTGGATTATCTAAGAGGAGATAATCCATATTCACAACATTCTCCCCCACCAAATTTCTCACTGATAGGGAGGAAAGTCCCTTAAATGACCAGGCTCCCTACGAGTTCGCAGTGGCCACCTCGGCAGTCCATGATTCGTGGTCGGAGTACTTTCGAACAGGAGGCTCTTCAGTCTTGAGCCTGTGTGTGGGCTCTAAAATGCCTTGCTCCAAATGTTTCCTTCTCAGAGGAGCAGGCCGTTCCGCATCAGAGTCAGTCTCTGGATGAACACGTTTATTCGGTGCTAGCCCTTCATCTGTCAGGGTTTCAGGTGTTGGCCCATCCGAAGTGTCTGACGGGGCCTCAACGAAGACAGTGTCGCCAGACGGCGTGTCGGGAACAATTTCAGTGCCATGATCTTCTGGAGGGGCTTCAGTGTCAGGGGTAGTTGGTCTGTCCTCAGGGGCTATCCACGGTCCGGCACGTCTCCGCCGGTGCTAGGTCCCTGAGAGACACATTAGACTCTCTACCATCTGCATGTCGTGACTAGCGCCGTACTGAGGGTTCGCCTCTATAAGTTTCTGCCTCGTCCACCAAGGGATCGTTCTTGGTGTAACGCATGTCGCCTCAGAAACACAGTACCGGGTCGAGAGAGCCAAGATGGAAGTTAAGCTCCCGCTAAACTCTGTCGCTGAAAAGGTAGAAACCTTTCGTGTGGGGTGGCATTCGTGGCGGTACACAATAGGGAACGAATGGCGATAATGCGACAGGAAGATTTTCCCAATTATCAATTGAACATCCGTTATTTGAGGCAGCCAATTGAACGGTCTTCCAAATAATGCCGTTATATCTTTCGCATTGGCCGTTACCCTTAGGGTTGTAGGAGTTGTCCCGCTTATAGATACTCCTCGTTCCTGTAGAAATTGCGAAGCTGCTCTGACATGAAAGAAGCCCCTCGGTCCGAATGTATATAGGCAGGGGCTCCAAAGATGGCAAACAGTGAGCAGAGGCAGTGTATAATTGCAGCAACTGATATGTCTGAACAAGGGAAGGCAAAAGGAAACCGTGAATATTCGTCGATAACCGTTAATATATATCTGTTCCTTGTTTTACTTGGTAGCGGTCCTTTAAAATCAAGATTGAGTCTTTCAAACGGTTGTGTTGCTTTTATTAAAACGCCAGTTTGGGGTTTATAAAACCGAGGCTTTATTTCAGCACACGTTCGACAAGAATTTGTAATTCTTTTTACCTCCTCCACTGAGAAAGGCAAGTTTCTACACCTCACAGCATGAACCATTCGAGTAATGCCCGGGTGATAGAGATTGTTATGTAGCATTTGGAGTTCGTCCCCACTTGATGCCGTACAGCATGCTCTTGACAGTGTATCAGCTGTTAAGTTCTCCTTGCCAGGTCGGTAGCTGACGTCAAAGGAGAAACAAGATAGCTCAATTCTCCACCTCGCTATTTTCTCATTCTTTATTTTACTCATAGTTTTAAAGTTGAACATAAAAGCAACTGATTTCTGGTCAGTAATAAGTTTAAAGTGGCGTCCGATCAGGTAGTGTCGCCATTTTCTTAATGCCTCGACTATGGCGTAGGCTTCCTTTTCAATTGTGGGGTGTCGTCGTTCAGCCTGTGAGAGGGTCCTTGAAAAGAAGGCTACAGGACGATCAGCTTGTTTCAAAGAAGCAGCAATAGCACAGTCTGATGATCCGTTTCAACAACCAGAGGAATATTTTGGTCTATTGTTGTAATTGCAGATTTCGCAATATCCTTTTTCAGTCCCTCAAATGCCTCAACGGCTTGATGGGACAGAGGAAACATCTCTACTTGTGTCAATGGATGTATCTTTTCTGAGAACGAAGCAATCCATTGAGAGTAATGAGCAAACATGCCCATAGCACGTCGAAGGGAAGGCTGGTTGTGAGGGACAGGCATCTGGAGTAAAGGTTTCAATCGATTCTGCGTCGGTGCCATAAAACCTTTGCTTATGGTATACCCCAGTAGGTTTATTTTGTTCAGTCCAAACGAGCATTTGTCGTCGATTTTAGGGTAAGGTTGTATTTATCGACGGCGGACATGAACCGTCCGAGATTTTCGTCATGTTCCTTTATATTATGGCCACATACTGTGACATTGTCGATGTACGCAAATGTGCCTTCCAGTTTCTCATCCATTATGATTTGGTCGACTATCCTTTGGAAGCTGGCTACCCCATTCGTAACACCAAAAGGAATCCTGCGAAATTGATATAGTCGACCGTTCGCCTCAAAAGCAGTGTATGGCTTGTCTCTAGGTCTAATGGTGATCTGATGGTATGCGCTTTTCAAGTCCAGAGTGCTAAACATACGATATTTGGCTATTTCGCCTATCATTTCATCTATCCTGGGTAGTGGGAAGGCGTCCAAAAGAGTAAATCTATTTATGGTTTGGGAGTAATCTATAACCATTCTCTTTTTATGGTTGCTAGAAGTGGTTATAACTACCTGAGCCCTCCAGGGTGATTTGCTAGGCTCAATTATAGCCTCCTCAAGTAGTCTTTTTATCTCAAAGTCAATGAATTTTTTATTATTATAAGAAAAACGTCTGCTTCTCACTGCTATGGGTTTGCAGTTTTCAGTTAGGTTTTCAAAAGTGACGGTACTGGATTTTTGCTGTCGCCGATCCACAAATTTTCAATGCGGCATTGAACCGCCAAACAGAATTTCAACCTGTGAGTGTTGCTGCAAAAAAATCGTGTCCCAGTATTATTTTGCAACAAAGGTTTTTCATTACAGATAATTTAGTGGTTTTATAGGAGACGTCATTAAATAGTAAGTCCACCAAACAATAACCACTTACTTGCGCGCAGACAATGACGCGTTTGCCATTGTTACTCTGCTGGGGAGGGGACAAAATACAATTTGTTGGTTTTACCAAGCTTTCTTTGATAAAATTTCCTGAGCTCCCGGTATCGAGCAGGGCATTTGTAGACCTCCGTTAATTTTCACTTTTACAATAGTTTTTGAAAGGCAGTCGGGGAGGCGGCTAAAGTTGCAGAAGTATTTTTGACGAGTGGATTTGTATCGAGTTTTAGAAGACTTGCATACCTTTGAAAAAATGACCAAGTTTTCCACATTTATGACAACGAGTATCTCTGGCAGGGCATGAGACTCGTAGGTGTTTAGATAAGCCGCAAAAAAAAATAGCAAGTGTCCTTTTTAAAGCGGCAGTGACCGATTGTTCTTGAAGCTTCGTCAGACTATCGTCATGAGGGGGACAGTAAGAACAGGTGGGTTTAACGCGGCGCCCACGGTGTCTGGCTGTAAATAAGAACTAAACTGCTGTATAGCACTTTCGAAGATATAGGCTTGCTCGTAAGCTGTTCTAAGTGTAAGGGTCTTATTCAAGAAGACGTTGTCTTATCTGAGTATTGCGTAAGCCGTTAATGAAGGCGCCCAAAATGTAGCTCTTGGGCCTCTAATGCCGTCATTGGGCAGAAGTTGCAATCTTTGCTCAGTGTCCGAAGGCTCTTAAGGAAATGGTCCAATGTCTCGCTTGATTCTTGTCGGCGAATCGCAAGTAGGTGTCTAGAAAAATATCTCATTTTGGGGCTTTATGTATGTAGCGTTCAGTACATCGATTGCTTCTTCGTAGGTAACGCAATCCGAGATAATTTCGTTGACTGTGTGAGACAGGTAGTTGGTTATGAGCGCATGCTTATTGATGGGATGTCCCGGTCTTTCTGAATGTAGAACCTCGATGAAATTTGTAAATGTCTCCCGCCAATGTTTCCAGCACTTGTCGGCTGAATCGCTTTCTGGATCTGTGGTAAGTCGCTCAGGTCGCATAAATTGTTCCATTCTTAATTGAATAAAATGTAATGAAAACAGGACAAGAGATTCTGTCTCGTAATCGTTTATTCAATTAAGAATACTACTACTCATCTGACTTGACAGCGGAAGTATACAGCTTTTATAGCTTGGATTATCTAAGAGGAGATAATCCATATTCACAACACTTAACTAACCAACCCAATAATGTGTCAACTCCTAGCTCTAGTGACAACACCCCTACACCTAATTGCTTTCTTTACCAACAGTATCTAAGGAACCACATATGAACAATTTTTGCTACCTTTCACACAACTATGTATATATTTTGAATTTTGACAAATACATGTTGAAATTTTAAACCTTCCCTTTGAAACCATACACTTGTTATAACAAATATATTTTACATAATATCCTATATATTTGAATAAATTATTATTTTATTGTTTTGCAAGTAAATCTGACCTTGGTATCCTATAACCATCAGTTTTTCATCCATTGTTAACTTTACAGTTTTAAAATTAACATTACTTCCAGCAATTTTTCTATTCCCATTGAATATAGTTTTCTATTCTCATATATTCTCTTAATGATTAACCACAAGTTTTCTATTGAATTAATATTTAGAAGCTGATAGGCCATTTCATTAACATGATATCTTTGGAACGCTTTTGGTGAAGAGGACAATGGTCAGTTTTGCAACATGCGAAAGAGCACAAATATACTCTTTAGCATAAGTTAACATTGTAACATGTAACACTCAAAAGTGTATTATTCAAGAATTTAGAATAATTCTCTTACTCCATCTCTTTTTTATTGTCTTCTATAAAATGTTTGATTAATTCCATAAAGAACATTATCCAATGTAGCTCTACATTCATCACAAATTACTGTTTAGAAATAACTTTTCATATACTACTACTTCACATGTTTCACTTTGTGATGTTTGCTTAAAGGTGTTAGTTTGGTTACATCTATGTTTTTATCCAATGCTCTTAATAGCTTTCATTTCTCTGCTTGTAACTGCAAAACTAGCTTTTTCAAATGTTTTCATGCTTGTCAATCTAATTTCTCTTACTTGTTACAATTTAAAATTTTTCTCAAATCTCTTTTTGTGACATTCTTAAACCTAGTTCTTTTTTTTATTGTTTTTATCTGGTCAATGTTTTTAATTTCTTTTTCAAATGTTCTATTTTGTAATTTCCAACATTGTGTTTCTGCCATTCAATAAATTTATATCCTGTTTCTCTTTTGAGGTTATATGTTTCTTACAAGGTATGGCAATGATTATATATCTAAAATTAAAAAATAAATATCAATAACTATACTAATAAATATATCTTACATTATATATATATTATATATATATATATATATATATATATATAGTCTGTTACATATATTTTACTATGTTAACAATCCTAGAATTGCATAGTAAAATCTCACCACCATCAAATAAGTTATTGTAAATATGTCTTATAAAAAAAAAAAAAAAAATGTTAAAAGCTGAAACTTGAGAATTGCTTCAAAATGTTAATTAAAAAGAAACATAATAACTACAATTTAAATTTTTTCCTAAAAAAATATTTTGGTTCAAAGACATATCATTTTTAAATCTGACCTATTGAGTATGAAATAACATAACAGCTGTGGAATAGTAATTAGTTTTTAAGGTTCCCTTCCAGACACTTATAGTTCAATTTATCTTTTGTTGAAATCAAACAATAATAGTAGTTAAATGCATATTAGTTTTAAGAATTACTATCCATAAAAAATAAATAAATAAAAGAGTGTACACTATGTGGCAATTATCATTGCTCAAGTGAGATTTCATCTTTTCTTTTAACATAAGTATGAATTAATTTGGTTCACAGATTAGAATTCTATAGGATTGTATACTCACACTAAAAAGTGCTCATCCCAAAATGGATTAACAGTGTTTTTGATGACAGTAGTTTCATACTTCTGGGGGGGACAATCCATCACAATAACACAAAATGGATCACTTGAACCTGAAAATAAATAATTTAAAAATATAAAATTAAATAAAATACTCAGATTTATTTCTTCAGATATATTGTCTTTTTTAGTTTGTTTAACAGCATATCAACTCCTTATGGGTCATTTAATGTTGAAATTTAATTTTCTTGGAACCTTTGAAGTAGTAGAAATATGATGTTATTCTGCTTTTACAAGTGAATACATGATGATATTCAGCTTTTGTGCATATATATGTTTGTGTGGACATAATTATAAGAGGCAGTGACATGCATGGTTTATGTATTAGTATTTTTAAGTTATATTTTGGAATACAGTTTGATTTCTTTAAAAAAATTATAGGATATTATATGGACTAATGTCCTGAAAGAGTTCTTTCATGTTGGTCGTTTGGTAGTATTTTAAATGGATTTGACTGAAGTCACAACAATTTGTTAGTATGTGTTTTATTGTGCATGGTTCATGGTATGCTGTACAGATTGGAGGTGGCTCTTGTTTTAGGATATAAGATGTGTGATCATGGAGTGTCTGATATGAAGTCTGGATATTATTACTTCATCTTTACTTGTTTTTAGTGTTTGATGTAATTTTATTGTGGTAGATAAGTGGATATATTAACATTTTTTACCATTACATAAAATCAACATTTACTGACAGCTGTGAATAGTGCTATTTTAAAATATGGCACAAGACTAATCAAATATAAATGAAAAAATACCTGTATTTTTCTTTTTAATTCAATACAATATAAAACTTAAATAATAAAGCAGCAGTAAGTCAAAAATATATTGATATAAAGTTTTGAAAACAGATAATGCACTTGAACAAACGTCAATAAAATCATTTAAGAAAGTTGATTAATAATTTACATAAAACATAAGTCAACAGGACTAACATAATTCCTCACCAATCTGGATAAGTAATATTTTCTAATATTTGTTCAGATATTTATATGCAACTTCTCTTGCCTCACTGGTAACTCTTAATCTGTAACTAACTTGTCTGACAGATTCCAAAAGAATATACATACATTAGTTTCTTGTATTAAATACAATTTTTTACATTTGAGAATTTACTGTAAGAATTTACTCACCTTCTTCTCTTCCTCCAAGGTTGGAACCTTTAATAATCTTGATAAGCAGACGCTTATCTCCTATTGCTCGTGGTGGTTTTGGGGGTGCTGGCAAAGCTGGCATCTCTTTGAATGGAAGGGCATGCTGGGTCTGTGACATACGCTAGATCATGATAAGTTAATAGATTAGAAAATACCTTCATATGCAAATGTGTAAATAAACAATGAGAGTAAACTTTTAAAGTGATATCATGATCACATAGAATCTAATAAGAAAGATAATTAAAAATTTTTATGATGGAGATATATTGTAATGTCACTTAAATTAAGAAAAAGTTATATTATGTAGACGCTTGTTGTTTGGGTGTGGTATCTAATTAGTCAATGGTAAATTAATTTTATTTAATTGTAATTATGAAAAAATTTAACAGCATTACTTTGAAAATTAAATTGTTTTAGAACAAAGAGTAATTTTTAGAAATTCAAAACTATCTAAAATGATTATACATGAAGAGGAAGAAAGATTAATAGATGAACCATATTATAGTCATTAAGTTCCCTATCTGCAGTTATGAGAAAGAATATTTTTATTAATTTTTATAAGTATCTTCATTATTTTTAACAACACTATATGTTACTATGCTGTTCAACCTTCATACTGAAAAAATATGAAATGATAAAGTATTATTTTAGGTCATTATGTCATATAGCAACACTTGTATCTTCTTAATCATTGAAAAATTCTACTAGAAAAACATACTAGTGAAAGTTAGTATTAGTCATACTAATTATGCACTGATAATTTTTTCTTTAATTATTTTAAAGCTGTATATGCAGTATTTTTATAGTCAGAATTATAAAATTTTAAAGCTTTAAACTCCCTGTACTCTGTAATATGTATTTTACCCTAATTTTGCATTACATACACTTTTCAAGGGAAATAACTCCGATTATAAAACAAGTAATTGGGTTATTTCTCTTATACCGTGTCACAAAATAAAATAAATCATAAATAAATGAAAAATAAAAATAATAACTTGTATCCTGTGACATTTTGCTGAATCTGTCAGTTAAGTGCCATACGTGATACACGTTTGGGCGATCATGTCTCTTTCGATACATGACTGACGAAGCAGATTTTTGCCCCCAGTAGACTGCCAGTCCTTTCTGTGGTAGACTGGTTGCCAACCAAGACTAAAGAACCCAGTCTATCCTGCTATTTAAACCATAGCTGGGGTGAGAAGAGATGGATTCATACCTTTCCCAAGGACATTTCTGTGCAAGTGAATCAGTTCTCAAAATGCATCCAATGTATTTTTGGAATGTATCTTCTCATTAGTTTATTTTAGACTTTATTTTCCATTTTTTCTCAAAGTTTAAGAAGGTATTAGTTTTTATAAACCAGGTACTTGATAAAACATCTGTATCTAACAGTCCACTACTATTTTAAACCCAGTCATGATCTTCTCATGCCTATTTGTGGTTGTTGACTGGTGAGTATTATCCCTAACGATAGATAGATAGATAGATATTTCCGAATATGGAGCTAATAATTTTGTCATCTTTCTATAAACATCTGATTTTTCCTCTCCTGTTACAAATTTCCAGTATAAGTGACAAAAAATTTGTAAACATTAGCTAGTAAATAAGTAGTTGCAAAATAAAATAAAATTTTAACATAAAAAGTAATAATTAAAGTGTATAATTTCTTGACTATATGAATTTTTTTTCAAATAGTAAAATATTATAATTAGCATGGTTTTCTTGACTTATATAAATTTTAGCCTCTGTTTTCTTTGGTCTTTATCATACAAAGTGTTAGGCATTAAAAAAACCCTGAAAGGATTGTAATTTTATTGAAAACACTTAAATCTTAATTAAAAATTAATGGAAAAATTCAAATGTCAATTTTTGGTTTCATATATACATTGAAAAAGTTAATATGAATTTGATATTCAATGAAATTTTTGTATTAATTATACAGAGAATGTTTTTTTTTGTTTTTTTTACAAAAATAAAAATTATGTTAACAATAATGCATGTATTCTTGTTTTAGTTTTCATTAGAATAAATACTTTTTTTTTAAATTTATAAGATTTAGTCTAAAACAATTTGATAATTTTATCTTATTGTTAATCTGGGTTAAGCTTTTCAAAATGGTTTTCCAGCTCAATTTCAAATCATAAGAATTACACACTTTTTAAAAAACTTTTTTGAATGTCTATATCTCTCACAATCCCTATGTCTGATTTTTGTTCAATCTTTTTAATGAAATTGTACAAATTTAAACTTTCATTTGGTTTTATTTTCAGTAAAGAATTAAAATTGTTACTGTAGTTAAATTATTAGGATTGGCAGGCTTGATAGGTGATTATAGATAATTACACAAAATTTCACAAAAAGTAAGTTAACCACAATTAATAAATACAAACATGTTAAATCAAAGAAAACAAACAACAAAATTTAAAAACGTATTCTGTAAAATAAAATTATTAAAGCAGATAAGAGATACTTTGCATAATTCCATTTGTCAATAAAAATAAGAAAATATGTAAATAATTCATATTTGTATCATTTGACATTTTGAACATATTTATCAACCAATTGTCTGACAGTAATGGATTAAATGTGAGTCTATATTTCAGTATCATTTATTTTGCAGATGCATATATTTTGTTGTTTATACCTAATAAAATATTAACCGATCAAGATGTGGTTGATTATGGAATAAAACACTAGCTTATTTTACTGAATCATCTGAGGAAGAATCAGTAAATTGACTTAAAAACAAAATTGAAAAGAGAAAAACAAATAATCAAAAAGTATTCAGTCGTGTATTTTCAATGAAAAATATTATCACATTGCTTTTTCTTTCAAGCAAAAAAGAAAGTTTTTATTGACATCATCTAAAATATCATATCCTTTTTTTCTTTGTTTAAAAGCAACTCTTACAATTATCACTAAATATTTATTCATTGTCTTTTGCATTATGCTTGGTAATACTCAATTTTCAAATTTGATAAGTTTTCCTTTCTGTTCTGTAACTCATGAATAAAAGATAATATTCCACCCTTAAAATAACATTTTCAGTAACATTCAAACTTTTGCTGAAAATATATATGTTGTGATTCCAATGCTTGTTATCAATAATCAATGTGACAATGAAGTTAACATTCACATTTTATTTGCCTACTTTAATATCTGCAGTAACCAATGAAACAATGATAATTACAAAATATTAAAATAGTATGTGAAAGATTTAATATCCTTTGAATAAGGGAAGAGGCTAAATAATAAGCCTAAACTACTAAGTAATAAAAATTTAAAAAAGGTTAAGTCTTTTTTGTTTTTCTTTTGAATCAATTGCTTGCAGCCCTATGACCATCAGATTCTAAAATGTATTTAAAGTTTTTAAATTTACTTTATTGAGGATGTTGGTTGAATTTCTGCCTATTTGGATTCAATTTGCTAGTTCTTATTTTATCTTTGAAAACTTAACACTAAAATTTCAAATGAACTAAATGCTTTAAGAGAAAGGTCTTAGTAAGTTTTATTTGTGTTTAGTAATCAGTTAAGTAGAATTAAGATTCTTTAGTATCACTGATCATACTTACAAGACAAAGTATGAATCTAGTTTTTTATGTTAATTTCTCCAAAGAAAAATAACTTAGGAAAAATGTTAAGATTCATATATCATATTATGTAGACCTTTAAAATTTCCATTGACTTAAAGCATGAGAAAGTCTTCAAATTAACTCAAACTAAAAATCTATCTCCACAAAAAAAAATTTAAGATTTTGTGAAATTGAGTATCTGTAACTATATATTGATTTTTTTGGCAGTAAGTATAAAATATTTACACCCAGAATTGGACCTTTTGATTGAGAAATGTAAGGGCCAAAACCATTTTAAACTATTTTTGAGCTCCATTTATAGAAGAAATTATATATATATATATATATATATATATATATATATATATATATATATATATAAAAACTTAGGCATCATTATTTGATGTGTATTTTCAGGAAGTTTGCAAAATTTCTCTGGGGAAAAGATACCAACAAACAAACAAGCCAAAACTACCTGACAATATGGTAAAACAATGCTTTTTGTATCCTGTTTTCTGTAAAACAAAAACAGTCTTATTGTCAACACAACTGGCACATCGCTATTACAGGTTCAGGATAGGGATAAAGAATATACCATCAAAATACACTGTTTGTATTGTATTTGTGGTGATAATGGTATTGATCATGTTGCTGAAAAATATTTCTCTTAAACAGTAACTTTTTTATTCACTGTCAATTGTTGAAAGCATTTTTTTTTTCTTGAGGATTGCACAACATTGAAAGGGTTCATTGTGGTCTGTGTTTCAGCTGCAAACAAGGAGAGGATCCAGTGAACCAAAACATGCATATTGCTGGTAATAATTTTTTTTTTTTTTTTTGGTCAAGCAATGTTCAGTGTAACTTGGCATATCACACACAGCAAATATTTTTTTTTTTTTACTTTATTTAACTACTTACAGGCACTTCAGATTCTGGTGGCTATAAAGATAAACAAATGTATGTAGATAATAAATGCAATTAAATTAGGAAGGGACTTGCACTAATTGTCAATAAGTATTTGATGGTTACACATGATTTCATGTCTATATTTAGTATATTTCTATAATATATAAACAGTGTATTTCTAAAAATATTAGCATATCTTTTATCAAACTGATTATAGATTGGTCAGAATATTGATAGTCATTCACTTTTAAACTTGCAAATTTGTATTTATTTCTTTTGTCGCATTAAAATACTGCAGAAGAGACAGATGTATAAGTGTTGCTGTCTCCTTCAGTAATAAAAAGAGAATATGTAAAATATGTAATTATTTAAAACTATTTCCTTTCAATTGTTAACCTTATTATACCCTTTGACATTACTTAATAAAGATAAGATTTTCCAATTAAAATAGAGTTAATATTTTTTTTTGCAATTAATGTATTGCTTTAATATTTAGTTTTAACTAAGCTAATAGTTACTCTGCTGTAAAAATATAGCCAAAATGGAGTAATGATTCAATACACAGATGTGAATCAAGACTTACAGATTGCAATCAGGAAAAATACTATTCCAGATAATAACAATTGCTAATATTTATGAAACT